GTTTAAGGCTAGCTAGTAAAATCAGGAAAATGCTGCTCTTCGACTGCACTGCATAACTGCATAAATAAAAAGTACTTAATTAATCATGGCATTATTTTGACACACTGTAGTCCACTTTCAGTTTTAAATTGTGACTCTGTAACCATTTATTTGCTTTGTTGTTCATTTTACGATATGATCCAATTTAATGCTAATGGTAGTTTAATCTTTACAGTTTCCAAGTTAAGACTTATGAACTGATTCCTTTTAGGTAAGACAGAGCTCCATGATTACATCTCTGTCTTAAGGTGGGACTAGAAACATTTTGCTTCTCTTTATGCCAGTTTCATTGTTTAGATTATAGAGAACTGGACCGAGCAGCGTGTCAGTATGAATGTTCAGTCTTTGGTGACTTCTTAAAGCAGGAAAAAAACATGTCATTTGAAGAAGAGATAATAATACATTAAAAAAAACTCCCATCCAGTCATATCTTGTAATGCTAGGAGAAATAAAGGAACCATAAATTTAATGAGCTAAAGCCAGATAGTAATTGTTAATATTATCTTTATAATTAACTCTTTGGCTGATAATACTAAAGAAAGTTAGATGTGTGTTTTGTCGGAGGCCACACACAAAGCACACAATGATAATACGTTATTGTCACGCAGCAAATGTGGTACTTAAGGACTGACGGCTTTTGTTAATCAGAAAAGCTCATAAAAATGTAAAAATCCACCAATGCCAAAACAACAATTATTTAATCTTATCAGAGTTGAAGTGAGAAGCTGAAGCTTGTATAGTTTTGGCTTTTTTGCTTAAAGAAATGATATCATTAATCAAAATCACACCAGATTATTGTTCTGTCATTGAACCAGTGTTTTTATGTACTTCAGCCAGTAATCACAGGATGCTTTCTGTGCATGTAAGCTGTTGTTCGTTTGTTTTTTTAACCTTAATTTTAAGCTGAATTCTGAACATTTACTTAAAGCTCAGAGCGTGTTCTTAGTGTCGTCTATACTATAATTCGACTAAAGTGATGACGTTGTGAGTTGTTATGGCCGTGCATAATTTAAAGCTGTGTAGGTGTGGCTGTTGTGGTGACAGTTCTCTTGTCCGTCAGTTGGTTAGTCCAGACTGAAAAACCTTTGGAAGCATTGCAATAAACAGCTGTGGTTGGACCTCAGTGGGTGATTTAGTGACTGTGGTTCCTGACCTTTCTCTTTATGCCACCATGAGGTTCCCATTTGTGGTTCTGAGAGAACAAATATGAAATTTGATACTGATAAACCATAATTGTTACTGTGAGGACAAATTCATTTGATGATCTCTTGGCTTATTTTTAACTGGTTTAGGCTAACCTGGTAAAAAGAAGTCAAATATGCTTTGAGTAAGCAACTGTTAACATGATAACCTGAAATGATGAACTTTATGTGCCTGCTAAACATTACCATCCTTGCATTGTTATTACGAGCATTATTGTTATTACGTGTTGGCCTGCTGACATTAACATTAAGTCAAAGCACAGCTGGTCCTAAGTACAGCCTTACAGAGCTGCTGTGTTGGCGTCTTGGAAGTCGGAGACATGGTTGTTTAACTGTTTTGATCCATTGGTGGCAGACATTCTTCAGTTGCAATCATAACGGACATTTGTTTATAGTTTCTGTAGCAGCGGCTACCAAACGTTAAATGGTTTGTGCCTGAACCAAATGAGCCGTATTGCAGTGTGTAGAACATGTGAAACACATGTGCAGTCTTAAATTAAAGGGGACCACAGTGTCAACTATTTACTTCATTCCACAGACATTTTGTCCATCTGCACGGTTCCCCTTCAGACCAAATCCCTGGGGCCTACTTATGCTTGGGAGAAGATTTAATTTTATGAATGCTGATAGATTTATTGAGTTTCTCCTCAGGCTGTGAGTGGACTCTCTTCAGCATATATTTAAACTTCCTGTTGAACATGTAAATATTTCCTTGCATCACAGGATCTTGAAGTCCAGACATGTTTTTTTGTTCCTTGTCAGACTGTCCTGAATGAAAAGTGACAAATCTACTTAGCAGTGTTGTGCCATTGTAATAATCCGGGTTTATGGCTTTAGTTCATTAACTGAACCCTCTGAGGTTCCCTTTTCTTCTCAGCAACAAAGCCAGACCTACCTGTATCGACTGGATTTTGTTTTGTTTTGCTTGGAGAATGCAGACGTCTGTTTCAAATCACATTTAACATTTTGTTCAGAAATGTAAACACCATATGGAGCCGTAATAGTATTGCACTGTTGTAAGAAAAGCAAAAAAAGCCTCACAAATCAACAATTCATTTATACACGAAAAAGCAGCAATGTTGAGTCGCAATGAAAAAAATTTTTTTTGATAAGGACTCACTGCTTTATCTAAATGTTATTGTACATCAATATGAGACTAGTATCTCATTTAAACACAGTAACAAAGAAGATGAGGTGAACCTGGATCAACAGACTCTACCATCCCATATTTTTAAAATATAATTTATATAAAATTTATCTGCAAAATTTAGATTTTTCATTTTTTTATTTGTAGGATCTTTAACTTGCACAGTAAAACGTCTTGAGAGTGCTTTGAGTACTCTGGGAGAGTAGAAAGAGCTACATAAGAATCAGTCCATTTATCATTCATCCACACTAACTGAAATCAAGCAAATTCAGTTTTGTGTTTTTTTTAATTCTCAATTAACACAAACGATATAACCTGTAACATGGAGAACATGACACTTCTCAAATATGCAGACGACACTGTCTTTGTGGTGAACCTGGTGATTCTGACAGTTTTGCGTGTTCTCATGAAAACAGTGCTTTCATTTTTATAGTGTGCTACATCCCTGTAAATGAGTCTTCGTGTTCATTCAGCTAGTTTAAGTGTGTCTTCTTACAGGAAAATAGAGTCTTTCACTCTATTAATTGTGCCTATATGATGGACGTGAATAAAAAATCGTAGCAAAGCACTCAACACCTGTGAGATGCCTCTTTATTTGCGCCGCAATGTGTTTCCTACAGCACAGGCTTTGCCAGTGAGTACTTATTACTCACTGTGTTTACTGGACAAGTGGAATATGATTGCACTGGCTATTTCGGATATTGTTTAGAAATCGCCTTTTCATTGTGGGAACGCAAAACTGTGATTGTGGCTAAAATTTTAAATGAATTGTGCAGCCTACGGATGCGTCTTTCTGAAACTCACAATGAAAAATAAAAAAAATTCTATAATGGGTGCTACTGAGTGAAGACATTAGGAAAGTGTTTACAAAAGTCAAGCCTAAGTACCATTTTCTTATACACTTTGTAGGATTTAAAAGATGTGTGATCTTGACTGTGCACAGATATATTTCAAAGCTCACTGACCTGAAGTGCTGCTTAGTGTTGTGTAGACCAGCGGTCCCCAAACTTTTTTGCGCCACGGACTGGTTTATGTCCGGCAATATTTTCTGGCCTTTAAAGTGTCGTGGATAAATACAACAAAATAAAACCAGTACCAGCACCTTAAAAAAAGAAGATTTATACATAACATAGGGGGGAAACCCAAGGAAACCGAGTAAATGAAAAATGATTTTTAAAAACAAGATAAAAAACGTCAATTTCACACCCGTGCCTCAACTCCAAACGACTCATGGACTGGTACGGGTTCGTATTTAGGCATATAGTGAAACAATGATGCTGCCAAAGCATAACTGTGTGATAGAAAGTCAAAGAATCTCCAATCTCAATAGTGGAGGTGTTTAGAGTTGGAATAACAGCAGTAGCAATAATCACCGAGATACAATATGTTGTTTTGGACTGACATGACTAATGTATCAGTTAGCTATCCCTACAGCCATGCTGCTAATAAAACCTTTAAATAATTTAGTCTTTGTATGATGTAACCCATTTCTGTCATGTCTTCACAGAATGTGTCCAAGTAGAAACTCAGAAAATTATCATTCAAAGGTTCCACTCACAACAGACTGCAAACTGTATATCTTAACAGTCCCACAGACTCACTTAAAAGATTTAAGCTGATTCTTCCCTTATCCTCATCTAATCATATTAAGATTAAACTGTGGAAGCTGCTTCCATATGCTGGCACATTGCTTTTTCTCTCCCTGGGCTTCAGTTATTTAGTCTTTATATAGTTTATATTATATTTATATATTTATATAGTCTTGCAGTTATGGCATTCCTGTCTGTGGTGACTGCGAGATACAAGATGAATTCCATTAACACATGTTTGTTTCTCACCTATTCAGTTAAATGTGTTAAATGAATGACTTCATATGAAAAATATTTGTATGGTAGCAAAACACTTCCTTTAAGAGATTTCCTCCACTGTTTCATTTTGACTTTTATCCATCACCTTTATTATATGATTGGATAGATACCAAAAGTATTTAATCAGAAATCGTGTATTTTGTTGATTTTCCTCATCTTTGGTTTAATACTCTAACAGAGCTGGAGAAAGATTTGTATTTCAAGGAGGATTAGAGTGAAGCATGGAAATAAGTGGAGACTGACGATGGAGGGGTAACATGAAATGACAGTTTGAGCGTGCTGAGCAAAGATTGGGATTTATTTTTGCAGCCTTAATGATGTAGGAGAAAATCATAAATCATTATTGCAAAGTGAGTCTAGTTGAAAGCTAATGTCTGTCTGCTGTCTACGACTTCCTTCACTTTCTTCTTATTGCCTGGCTTTCCCCTCTAATTTCCCTACACAACCACAAGCACCGCTCACTCTGTCATGACTCCCGGCTACAGTGGCATCTCATTTAAAGGAAGCAGACCAGCCCTTGTATCCATCAGTTACAGCAGAGGGAGGGAAGACGGGGCTGTGAAGGGAGGGAGAAAACGACTATTTAAGGGCTCGGGTTTAAAGCAATGGGAGTCTGACCTAAACACTCCTCACACTTTAAAAGACATTTCCTCCCACTCTTTCTCTCTCTCTCTCTCACACACTCTCTCTCGCTCTCTCTTTCTCACTCCTTGTCTCCCGCTTTTCACTTACTCCCTCTTTCAGCTGAACCCCAGCCTGAGCTGTGAACTGTGAGGGAGGATAAAGAGCTGGATTGACAGAGCTGCCACCTTGCTGGAGAGGCTGTATGACGGAGCAGTGACACAACAGAGCGAAGCATCATCTTTTTTCTTGGCTTCACTAAATTAGTGAAGACCCGGAGGAGCACCTCATGCTACCTGTGGGGGCTTGTGACAAAAAAAAAAAAAACAGGTAAGAAGATCTATTTATGAATTTCTCTGAGTAAACAGTTATTTGAAATGTCAGTATTCTCATTTCCTTTTGTTTTTAAGTGAAAGTAGTCAACTTGCACTAGTGAAGCATACTACAGAACCAAAAGGCACAATTATTATTTATTGGAAGTGCATTCTTGGTGTATACTGCAACTTCTTCCTCTGTCAGACTCACACAGCAGACAGTGCTGGGAGCAGCGGTGATGACTGACTGCTGTGGGAGTGAACATGTGGAAGAGTTATCCCAGGCTTTGATCGCCTCCGTAGAATGGCCAGCGCACTTTGTGCCAAAAAGAGACCCTTGCAAAAAATGTTGTCAGGTTGTAGATCAGTACTGGGAGAAAATGTAAAAATAACAGCTGTCCATCTGTGTGTGTGTGTGTGTGTGTGTTTCTGCACAGGGCCAAAAAAATGCACAAATATCCCTGTGTCTGGTGAGGTTTGCAGCTTGATGATTCATCATATTACTCTGGGCAATGCAGTTCAGACTTCATCGTGCATCATTTTTCCACCACTGAGATTAAACGAAAGGAAAAATAGGCGATGCTAGTGACGTTGCCAGCATGGGTAAAGAGAAATCAAAAAATTACATCCTTCAACCACTCAGTCCATTAGCTATGCTTAATTGAAATTTAAGTCAAAGTCAGTGGTTTTAACTTCTGTTTCATCCTTTGTGTGGTTTGAATCACCAGTTCCAGTCCACATTCAGCAGAAAGGAATATTTCAGCTGAATGAGATTATAATCATTCAGTTCCTCCAATGTGCAGTTTTATCCCCCTCACCCACGCTACTTCAGCTCAAACCTAGAAGGCACATTGTTTCCCATCATATACAGCTATAGCTATTTAGGAGAGTATTTTTTTGTATTTTCTCTGCTATGTGCCGTGTGTCCTGGGATGATTGTGTGCAGCCGAGTGAGAAAGGTGTCCGTGTCAAAGGGACAGCTGGTTTAATAGCCAGAGCCCAGAGGGCTCATACGACACTGTTTCCCTCTACATGACCTTGACACACAGAGTCAGGGGTCATAACTCATTCCTCTTTAGTTTATGTAAATTATATTTTGGTTCCTGTTTCTTTTTCTTTTTTTTTCAAGTTTCAGAATTCATTCGAGCAGCTGAAGGTTAGCGAGAGTAGTGAACTGGGTTTAATGAAAGTCTTTCCTTCTTTTAGGTTAAAAGTCAACAAGTTAATTTATACAACACATGAATAAATCTATGTTTTCTATCACATAACTGCAGGCTCTGTTTCAGGCCTGTGACTGTGTCAGAGTGTGAGACTTTAACACTGTAAATCTCCCACACTGTCTAAAATCAGGTATGTTGCTAATAAGCGGGACCGACACAGATGGTTGTTTCTGTTCGTGCCTGTTCATGGAGGAAATATCTGCTGGTAACATGCACAACAGTAAAATGCCCACGCTTCACTCACTCACAGCAGATTAACTAATTTAAAATGACACATTTAGACACTTGCATAGTATTTCCTCCATTTATTAACATATATAACATAGCACATATCTGCATTTAAGAGCATGCAAAATCACAAAAATTACTTTTTAAAAAATGTTTATTTTTGCAGAGACACAGTAACTGCTACTGAAATTGCTGAAAGTCTGCATTCTAGTCAGGCTCACCTGCAGACACAGTGAAACTGCTTTTTGGTCCCACAGGATAATATCTGCCATGCTGCAGTGGGAAACTTTGTAATCTGCTAATGAGGTGCTGCTATTTCTTTTACTGTATCAGCTACATTAACTACTCTAATTACCTTTCCTGAGATGATTTCCAGCTGTTTCTGATGCTGTCGAGAATCGGGCTTTGTACTTTGTAATGTATGGAAAAAATAGAAATGTTAATATATCACAGATGAACAACTGGATGCACTCGTTTATTGTTGACTACTGACTGAATCCTGACACAAAGCTGTCAACCACAAATGTTTTCCATACAGACTGTGTCCAGACTTGCTACACATACAATCTGTTAATGGATGCTTGTGTTTAGCATTAAATCTGCATGCAGTAGCACTTTTGGCTCGCCAAAGGTTGAGCTATTATATGGACATAAGACGAGAACCTCAGTGCCTTTATTTCAGTTTGACTAGGCAAAACAGATGTGATCAGCCCAGGGCCAACATTCCCAGTTTCTCTTTTCCACGTGGGAAAGTTCCCTTTTTGCTGCCAGCATGGGGAAAGAATACTAAAGCTACGGGAACTGGATTATAGCTTAGTGAACAGGTTATATTTATTTCAATTTTCTCTCTAAATTGTCTTCCCATGTCCCATAGTCAAAGGAGATGTCCTTGGTCAACCCCAGGGCTTCTCTGAATGATGTGTTCTTGGCTTTGTACCGTAAGCACTGCCATTCTCAGTAGTTTGACAAAAACATCAGGTCACATTTATATAAACAAAGTTTCCGCTGGTTTTGAAAAGTTACAAAAAAGAAAAAATGTGCTGGCAGTTATCTTTTTAAAAAGCCTTTGAAGTTATTTCAAGTCTGAAATTTAAAATGTAAAATTTAAGTTAGTGTGATGTGGAATGTGTGCATAATTTACAATTACTGATATATGAGTGACATTTCAGAGCTTTTTGCACTTTCACAGCTGCCTCATGCAGCTTGCTGCACGTTTTCTGGCTAAAGAACTACTATTTACTATTAGTGCTGTAGAATTTTTTAGAACCATTCCTTGAGTACAAGTAACAATAAAACACAATGAAAACACCTCACAACATGTCAAACTATATTAGTGGAAACACAATTTTCTGCAAAGTATTTTATTTTTAAAAATAAAATACTTTGCAGAAAATTGTGTTTTTTAGCAATGTTATATGGATTAATGTAACTGCTTTAGAAGCTTTAGGTTGAGCTTATGTTAATAATTTATATTTTGTTTAATCAGCAATCAAAAGGATCCTGTGAGGATCATGTATTTGTAAATAAACACCTGCTAATGAGCTCAAACACAGATTTACAGCTTGATTTTGAAAAAAGTATATTAAATATGTTTTTATGTAAAAACAAACAAACAAACAGGTTGGTCAAAATTAATTAACAATTATTTAAATTAATTTAAATAATAATTGAAAATATTAATGAAAAATAAAGGTGGTGTATGAGGAACACTGTTCGTTAAACCTTTCTCATAGATGCTAATTTTAAAATGCTAGTGGAGCAAAAACAAGGCATTTCTTGTTAACGTGTTGATGGAGTTATTAAAAACATTTTCACACTGTATTCTAACTCTTCTATATAGCAGACACTAAGTCATTTCTAATGCTACTTCTATTACCGCATAACCCACTGATGCTAGCTGATCTCAGAGCTTGTCTACTATGCTCCCATCAATCTCCCATTAGAGACAGATGGAGGACTATGAACGCACATGCACATCAACCAGAAAAAGGTGTTATTTCCCAACTTGACAAGCTCAAGTGATTGATAATGGAAAGAAGACCTAAGCAGAGTTAATCCTGCTTCCAGAGACTATTGCCAACTGTAGCTATATGATGGATGAATGCAAACAGGCCAGAAGCTTTAACGACAGAATGTTGTTTGAGATGAAAGGAGAAGGATCACTTTAACTTTGACATTTTAATTGATGTCTGTTTTTAGATCTCGCTACACAAGCACTGCGTGCCTTGCTTGCACCTCTTATTTTAAGAATGTTTTTTCTGCTCTGTACAACATGGAAAAGTGCACCCAGTTAGAAGAAATGAATCAAAGCAATTAATTAATTAACCTAATTAACTTCAATTAGTCTTACAATGAAAAAGGGTTACCAGCCAGTATTATCTTAAAAATGTGTTGAATTCCACTGCTTATTATTTCAAAAAGTCCATATTGTACAGTTATGTTAGTGACAGTGAGCTACCTGTGGGCATTATCAAGAAGATTTTTTATTTTTTTTTGCCAGACTGACTGTAAATTACAAGTGATATGTGTTGTAAAGGTTTCGAGAAGTAGATCACAAACACATTGTAAGACCAAGAGTTCAGATTTACTACTTTAATTGTAACCTACCTTCATCCTGCCGCTCGCCAGATGTGTGAGAGCCTCGTGAAACTTAAGCTGGGATTTTATATGGGCGTTTAAACAGGTAAGATGAAGAACAGTGAAAATGCTGGCAGGGGGTGTGGGACAGAAGCCAGGTCAGGTCAAAGGTGGTCATAATAAAGGAAAGGAAAGAGGACCGATGAAAAAGCCCTACCTTCAAACCTATATCTCTGAAGTAGCAACATTTTTACAGTCTTTGTATTGCGTGCGACCATTGCGATTTAAAGACAGCCATGCTGCCTGTCATCTAAGTATAACAATAAAAAACGAGGGAAACATTCAGCTATCACTGCAAACTTTTTCAAACTGTTTTCACTGTTTCAAAAAGTCCTTGACGAAAGCCAACAACTCTTGATTCCTTTACCAGCTTATTCTATTTTATTGGTTTTCCCCAAATATAAAATCTTTGTGCTTCCTCACAGGAAGGTTCAGCACAACCTGTAGAGAGTCCATCATATTGTAGAAGAAATATATTCATATTTTACTCTCAAAGTTAACACGCACATTAACAGTGAACAGCTTGATGTGCAATAACAAGGAACTATAATTTTTCTGAGTTCAGAGGACCTCTTGAGTCAAGGTAATCCAGTGGTTATATATTTTACTGTTACCCACCTTTAGATTTTTCTACAAAATTGTGAGGCAGATTTTGTTCTTGGTATAGGTCTCACTATTTTTTTTGCGTGTGTTACTGCAAGTAGTTTTATGTATATCTAGGCTTTCTTGTGTTGCTTTAAGAGGATGAGGATCAGCCACAGGTGTTTTGATTTTGTGTCTCAGAGGATAAAATACTTCTTGGTCATAAATATATGAATGTGCAGTCATGGCAACCCTGAGATCCAGCAAAAGCTCAGCTGAAGCTTTTCTGAAGATACTTTCCGTTATGCGATAGCTGATCATTGTGTCAATAAACAGTTTCCAGAAACTCTCGGGAGAACATAAATCCAGGTGCACCACATGTCTTTTTAAGTCCATAACTGCATTTTTGGAAGTAATTTTTCACTGGTTTGCATGTGCAGGTGGCTGCCAGTCAAAGAGTCTGGACAAAATCCTCCTGTGCTGCCAGAAATGCAGCTTCTTTATAGAGGTATTGTTTGCTGCCTCCCAGGTGTGCCAACAGACAAGCGTGTGAACCTGAGGGCCCATCTGGATGATTTGATTTGCTGGCTATTTGTGGATGCAATGATTATTGACTGATGAGGGAAGGAATTTCAAATCTAAAGCCTGTAAATGCAGTTAAGCAGCAATAACACAGCTTTGATATATCATAAAACTCCATGAAGGAAGAATTTTTTCCAGTAATGAGGAAGAGTCAGCCACTGTGGGCCTTACTATTTTTTTTTTTTTTGCCTGTCTCGTTTGGTTCTTTTGCCATCAGAATTATTGTCTAAAGGCGAGGAAAGATGCCCAACAGATTTACTTTACCAAATTGACCATCCCAGCCTTGCCGTAATGGTCTACTTGATTCACCTTTTATTGTTTATTTTATTTATTTTTTTATTTTCACTTGCTAGATACAGGACAGACTTGAATGAGGAAAAGAAAGGGGAGAAAGGAAGAGG